CGAGGTACATACGCAAAATTTTGTACCTTGCATTATATACATGAGGTACATACGCAAAGTTTTATACCTCGTATTATATAAACGAGGTACGAACTCGGAGCTTTGTACCTCCAAAAGAAAAGTATCGCGAATTTACATGCAGTACCTCCAGTTGCAGAAGCATTAGAAGAGCAGTGCTGATCAAGGACTTGCCAAACATAATTGGCAAGTCTTTGATCAAATGACAAGACAATTTATCCGTAAAGATTCCGTGTACCTCCAATTTTTGGCGGTACATATTTAAGGGATATACTTATGCCTTTCGTAATTACGTGGGGTTTATATTTCAACGTGTACCTCCAATTGTATCGCCAAATTTATTATTACCTCGTATATTCCGTACCTCGTGCTAATGCACCGCGAAAAATATTTCCTTTTAGTGCGTAACTCGAAATGTCATTTCCATGTTAAAAAAAATTACCTCGAATTTAGAGATACTAGACGATGCATGATTATAAGAGTATACGATCGCCTTTATTAGATCTTTTCCTATGAATTGGCAAATTTGCGAGAATTTGCATTTCACTCCGGCGATGTTTCAATTTTCCCATATAATTTTATTAAAATGCGTGATACGCGGCGGCTGTTGTTTCGCCGTGTCGAGCTATATGAATGCAATGAGAAACTTTGCGTGGCGTTTTTCTAGAACGATACGAAGAAGCGACTCGTCTCGACGATATATAATTCGATACTAAATTCCAGTATTGCGGAAACGCCCTGTTTCTCTCTTTTTTCCTCTCTTTCTCTCTCTTTTTCTGCGAAGAAGAAGGAGAGGAAGAAGAAGAAAGGCGAAGGTGAAAGAGAGAGACACACACGTGGTTTTCTATTTCTCGCGTGAGCCACCCGGCGAATCAGTCGCGTGCCACTCGCGGGCGCACTCGCGTGTTCCGTCCAAGCGTGAACTTCTAATACCCCTTCATCCTCACCTTGACTCTCCCGCATTAGCGGGTCGCCAATAATACTTCACGCACGAAATCTTTCCATTTTCTTCCCTCCCCGCGAGCGCGGGAGTCACGGGCACGGACGCGAGCCTCCCCGGAGCCACCGATCGGATATGCAGATTGCGGAATCTCGGGCGATCGCCCTATACCGAGTTCAAGAAACTGAACGGCGCGTTCCTCGCGAGTTCGGCTTCGGTGGTCGTCCATCGGAAATCGCTGTGCACGTGAAATTAATGGCAACGAATAATGTGTGTATATATATATTTGTAAATATGTATATACGTAATAAAAAAAAATATATATATATATATTGTAAAAATGTTTGGACCACACAAATTCGATTTTACACTTCGATTGCACATCCTCCGGAAAACCTGAAATTCTGAATCGAAATAATGAAAGCGTTCGTTTGCGAGGGAATGGATTGATCATCGACAAGATGTTTTATGTATTATAAAAAAACAAATATTACCAGTTCAAGACATCAATTCATATTTCTCTAATTTAATTATATCGATGATATTATTTTATTTCTAGCTATTGCCCATCGTAAATGTATAACGCCGTAGATTTAGAAGCTATAGACGCGCGTTGCATTTCCATTACTCCCGAGATATATCGTATCGTTCACCTAAATATTATTACTTTGTATTTTATCGTGACGTGAAATACAGGCGGAACGAAGCCGATAGTCATAATCGTGAAGATACTCCGGCGCCGCCGGTCGATCGAGAAAACTCGATTACCTTCCCAAACAATGCAATTATAGTATAGTAACGACGAACGAGTCTCACGGGATGATGCCTTCCGCGGAATGGCTATGTCGGCCATTTCGTAGGGGCGGGAAAGGGGGAAGCACACAGGAGAAAATCCTATTATAGCCCGTGTCCGTACGCGGAGTGGTACAGTGTGGGGTGAAGAAGCGAGAGAGGGTCGTGAGCCCAGTGCGGCGCTCACCACCCTCCCCGCGCGCGCACATCCGTATTGACGCAACGCAGGAGCCCACCCTGCGGATCAACCAATCGAAACGCAGCATCCGCGCATGCGATCGCACGGAAACGCGTGCCATTTTGTATGCCACGCTATCGCGGGGCGGAATCGGGGCGCCCGTTTCCGCGGCCGGAAAATGAAACCGAGAGTTTGACACAGTGACATATTTAATCATAAGTGCTGCGAAGGGTTGCAAGTCAATGTGCGAATGAGTGATGGAACAGAGCGAGTCTTTTTTTCAAATTTCTCAATTGCAAGGTCTACTTGGAAATACATTTAGATGTGGCATTATCTCGCGTGAAATAAATTGTCATATAATGTGGCAATGTAAAAATTTGTGCTCCTGTCTACAGATTAATTAGAAGAGAAATTTATTTATTTGCGCCTTCTCGACGTTTAAGTGTTCCTTAAAAGAAAATGTAATTTATCGTTGAAAGCGCAATGTTGCTAGAAATAAAAATTGTAATTTCATCGATATAATAATATAATATATAATATAATAATATTGATATAAATTAAATGAGAAAAATATAAGTTTTGTTATATCTTGAATTGTGTGTGGCAATATTTTTTTATAACACGTAATATCTTGTCAATGATCAAGAAGAAAGATTTTTAAGATTCACAAATATGTATTCAAAGAGATCAATTTGAAATCTAGATTGAAAAAAAATTACTGCCTGCAAATGTTGCAGTTTAAATCGCGCAGTTACTGATAATTATTTAACGTCTCTTCTAAGAAATACAACCCTTATTTTACCCCGGCAATAATGGGATATTACGAAGTCCGCGAGAACGTTCCTTGCGAAATTGTCGGAAGCTATATGGATTAAGAAGCCGCGAGATATCTGCAATTAGAGCAACTTTACGAGCACGCATCGCGTCGGCGCGATGAAGCGGGAAAATCTCAAGATACGTCAGAGAAGAGAGTTATTCATCGATATCCTTTATGTATCAAAATCACGAGAAGGTAAAAGCAAAAAAACGAGTATCTACTATGGACGAAAATAATATACCTACACGGAAAGAACAATTTTGTTGAATTCAGATCTGAAAATAATTTTTGTTCAATAGACAAAATTATTTTGTGCGAAAGTCAAAATGATTGCTAGAATATCAAAACGTTTTATAGCAATGCTTATCAGTTTTAACATTCCAACAAATTATTTTGATGATTCAATAAAAAATTATTTTCAGATCTGCTTTTAGCACAATTTTTAGATCTTTCAACAAAATCGTTCTTTACCGTGTTTTAATATCTTCTTTAGTCAAACTGAAATTGGGGTTTGACTTAGCGTCTTAAGAAACTATTATTTGCACGTACATTATTGTAATCGCGCGTTTAATTAAAATTGAAATGTCGAAATAAAAAAATTAATCGGAAATTGGCAAGCCTGCGAATGTACAGGCGAATATCGGCGCGCCTTCTTCCTTATACGCTCCGGCCGCCGGCTACGGCGTTGCTCGCCATATTTCAGAACAATAAGTTTCCGCGGTCTGGCGTGCCTGGCACCGCCACCGCGAAATAAAACAAAACAATACACATTTAGCTCGTAGAAACGGCGGAGAGAGCGGACGAGGCTTTAAATGGTTTCCTACCCCGCTTCCGAGCCGGCGGCCGAATAGGGCGGCAGGGCTGAAGACTGGTAAAACTAGGACGGACTATTTTCGGCTTCGATGCGCCGCATTCGGCTTCGTTGCGCTCCGGCCGGGGGGGGGGGAGGGACTCGTTTGGTATTTGCCGGTATCGGGACCGCCGATAAATGGGAAAACTTTCCCGGGGCGTTTTCAGCGCGTTCCCGGCCCGAGAGAAACAACGCGCGCCGCCCTCCGCTTTCCGAAAGGCAACGCACCCTTCCGTTTTCGTGCCGCCGCACTATTCTCGCGTGGCCGCTCGAAATTGCCTCTGTGTATTTCGGAAAGCTTAATCGTGTGTGCCACGTCGGATTACGTGATTTACTTGAATTATTCTTATCGGTACACCGGTGTAGCCTTTGTGTTCTTCAAGATTCATTCGCTCCAAAGTATGCTTTTTTTTTTCAGGAAATTCTATTATCATTGTGCTACAAAAACTATTGGACTACGTAATAAATTGTCAAACGAATTCTTTTGCCCAGTCCTTTATCTTAAATGCATCTTGTATTTGATTACTATTACTTTATAACAATTTGAAAGTTTATAATTTGTAGATTTGACAGCTCGAAGTATTGCAAGGATTTTTTACTTTTTTTTCGAGCTTTTGTTAATCATTAGATAAGGTTACATTTTATATTTTAACTGACAATTTTACCTTTGTCTTTTCGTTATATTTAACGTAAGTTTAACATATATTTATTGTATCAGCCGATTCTCAACTTCGCGATATCTATTAGTTGAATATCATGAAGGTATATTTCCCTCTCGTGAGAAAGCTATGAGAATAACGGGTATTTTGGGCTTCGAGGTGAACACTCGAGTTGTGCAAGCTCGTTTGGTATTTGCCGGTATCGAGTCGGCAGACAAATGAGAAAACTTTCCGAAACGTTTCCGACCGATGCCGCCGCCGCCGCCGCCGCCAACGCCGCAAAACGCTAGCCTTCGGTTTCGAAAAGGCAACGTACCCTTTCGTTCTCGTGCCGCCGCTCTATTCGCGCGGGGTGCACTCCCGCGTACGTCTAACAACGACTAAACCTGTATTTTGCCGTGCCCCTAACTTATCCGCGCCACGAATTAGCCCCTTGAGTTTCGACCCGATGCAAACGGAGCAGTCTCTGCCCGATTATGTTCAATTCCGGATTTTACATGTTTCAGTTGATTGACGACCGACTGACGGCTCAGTTCCCTCCATCAATTATTATGTCGATATAAATTTTTTATAAACTGAAAAAGATATTAACGTTTTATCCAAAATTAATTAATCTGCGCATATCTATTATTAAGACAGTTAATATATAGTTAATACAGTTAACACAGACAATACGGTTAATATAGTTAATACAGTTACTTTCACGTGCATGTGTGTAATTTAATTGGATCGATTTTCTGTTCCAGGCACTGAACGGGTTCCTGCTAATATTGACTTGCGACGGGGAAGTGTTTTTCGCTACCCATAGCATAGAGAGTTATCTTGGCTTCCATCAGGTACGATTGAATTTATAATTAAAGCAATCGTTGCATTGATTTAGCAAAGAATGATGACGCATTAAAATCTTCAGATTTATATTCAAAATGGTAGACATTAGTATATTACATATACAATAATATATAATATTACATATTATGTGTACAACTATATTCATACTTCTACACATAGATTACTTAACGTTTTTGAGTGGAACAGCAATTTTAGATAATAATATAAGTAAAGTATTGACTCTTAACGTAATGCTGTTTCCGAAATCGATATTTTTCCAAAAATATTTCGCCGTCAACAAATTTTGTCAGAACTCGACGCACACAAGTCTCTACACAGAGAGAATTTTATTTTAAAATTTATCCTGAAAATCATGTTAATCGTAGGACAACATAGTACCTATTTCGACGAATTTGATATGATTTTCATTATTTTTTAAAATATATACTACAACAAATTTATTGTAGTGTACAGTAAAATTTGTCGAAATACTATGTTGTCCCGCGATTAACAAAATTTTTAGGGTATATTTTAAAAGGAAATTCTCTCCATGTATCGACAAATCTGTATAGCGTTTAGAAAATCACTGACGTGTACCTTAAAGGCTTAAAGGAAATCGTCGACGTATACATATATAGATCGAGGATGCTTGCGCATTTATCCCCCCCCCCCCCAAGACTCCCCCTTATTGCAAGGTAATTCTAGACACAATTCACCCTCGTTGTTAGTTTATCTTCAGTCAACGTGTGTCCACACCCAACACGCGGCAGTCACGCCAACGCTGTCGGGTTCGCTCGTACATGTCACGTTTGCCCGATGTGGCATCATCCCTTTCGCGAGACACAATGTACCCATCCACCAGGACTGACGGCCGACATACATTTTTCAGTAGTAACAGTGGGTCATCGACGCAACACGCTCGCGATATTGCCCGGCGCTCAGCCTTACACAAATCTGTTTGACGCACGAACGGAAAAATCTCAACTCGCCAAATCTCGTGGGCATGCAAGTCATTGTCTCTAGAGTTCGTCCCTGATAACTGATTCGAAATATTTGCCAGATTTGCAAAACGTTTATCTATAATAATTTATGAATAGTTGTTGAGAAAAATCGAGCATCGCGCCATCGAAGAACATTTTATCGAAGCTCAAGTTCTGAGTGAATGCGAGACATGTACGATAAAAATGTGAATCGAGTTATAATACGCGAGCCTTTACAGAAGTCGAGCCTGTGAAACGTCCTTTAAATACACGACGTCGCGATTCGGCGAGCTCCTTTTGCGACTCGATGCTGCTCAAGGCGCGCTCTCCAGGTCTCTCAATTATCGCGATTTCAATTATCCTAATTCATTGCGGGCGGAATCCGGAGTCGCGGCCGTTGGTACATGCCCGCGGATTTGCATATACGCGAGTATCCCGAATGAACGCGAGCTGTCGAATAACGAACCGTTATCGAGGAACGCGCGGGCCGCCGCGCCGATCCGAATTCCGACGGTCTTTAATTAATTATGACACCGGGATAATCGCGCCGGGCAGGGCCTCGTTAACGGGCGACGTAACTCCGGCGATTTTATTCGGCCGCGACGGCGACGATCGGCCGAGATCGGGAGAGAAAGGATCCCGATCCCCCTCCCCCTCCGCTCCCTGGCCCACCGCTCCCCCTCCTCCCTCGCTGATTCCCTCGGCGCGCTGGCGCGATGCACCCACCGGTGTGGGAACCACGGAACGTCCGATCCCGATTCCGCCGTGCAGACCGAATCTAATTGCGCGGCCACGATCCACACTGTTGCACATTCGATTGCTACCGGCGTTCCCGCGCGCACGATCATTTGAATACTTCGGCCGGGGGGCCCCCCCTCTGCTCGAACGCCGAGGTTTCCCCGTAATGATAAAGCGGCTGTGTGTAACCACAGCCCCGGCGCGGGCTATTGGTTCCACGCGAGAGAATTGTGTACACAGTGTGGAAACTGATTTTACGCTATATATTCGCTCCGATCGGCATCGGCGGCTCGCTCTCAGCGTACATATATCCGTCGCGTTCGAACGTTCCGAGATCGCCCGCGACTTGACGACGCGCGACGTCGAGAGTGTCGACGGATTCCAGATTTCTCGAACTCGTCGAAGCCTCGACGCTGAAACGCGAAATCGTTCGCGGGAAAGTACTTCTGCGTGTAGCGTCGTAATCCCAAAATCGATGCGGAATAATAATGACGTAAAAATAAATAATTGACAAAAATGCGTTTATTATTTGAATAATAATTTATTGACGCCAATAATTCAATTAGAAGTACGACCCATTATCCTTCTCTCTAAATCTGAATCAGTGGTTAGTCATTGATTATCAACGATTGTTCACCGAATGCATATAAGTCCCAAGTCTGTCGAAAATCACTATGGACTTTAACTGTTCTTGCATGGAAAAAATGATTTTGTTGAAAGGTCTAAAAATTTTGCTGAAAACAGAAGAAATCTGAAATTAATATTTTGTTGAATCATCAAAATAATTTGTTGGAATGTTAAAACTGATAAGCATTGCTATAAAACGTTTTGATATTCTAGCAATCATTTTGACTTTCACACAAAATTATTTTGATTATTGAACAAAAATTATTTTCAGATCTGGATTCAGCAAAATTGTTCTTTCCGTGTATTCAACGTTTCTTAGTGTCAAAATAACATAATTTATGAGTAAGTGAACAAGTAGCATAAAAATAATGTGTTTTAAAACATAGATTCTAACATACATAAAATTCGTATGTTAATATAACATATCATAAACGTTAATTTTATTGAAAAAATATGCTTCCACAGTTTGCTTACAAATTGTGTCAGCTTTTTGTATTAATTTTTTAATATATTATTTGTGTTACTTTCTAACATAGTCATCTTATGTTAAATTGATACAAAAATTAAAGTGGACCGTTTGGGACATGTGAAATGTGTTTAATACCATATAACGCAAATTTTCCAACAGTTAGTAAGAAATTATCAACGCAAAATAAAAAATTAATCTGAGAAGCGATTAATCTCCAAATAAACGCAGAATTCGCGCACTTAACGCGTTAGCAAACCCCCGCCTGGGATAATCTCCGATGGAACACGAGTGAAGCAAAGTTTGTCCATCATCCATGCTATCATTATCTAATGGCCTATTAATCAGCGGAGGTCATTACGCGATTGTCCCTTGTGTTCGCCATGGGAATTTAGGATGATCGAAGTACTATCGTACTCCTAACAGTACAGCGCGCAAAAAGAAAGGAAAATAAAACCTCGTCCATAGTCAAAGCTTATCCGAACAAATCGCGGATAAACGAACGAGCAGTGGCCTTTCGTGTGCAATTCCGTTTTCTGTGCGTCGTGAATCGCGAGTGGCAGAATCGAGTCGACCATGCAGAAGATCGAAGATATTTTTTCCCTCGAGCTCCGATGTATCTCGTGAGATATTGTATTCGCCCGGAAAGCTTCGTGCATTCAAATTCGGAATTCTTCCAATTATACCAGAATTCCTCTAAATAAAAATTTCATTATCTCGGGAGATGATGAAATAGGAGTACTGAATGTGATCGAAATACAAAATTACTACAAAAAAAGTATATAAATAATTGTCAATATTAATGTATGATCATTTTCGGGGATATTTAGATAAAATAATATACGAGAAAAACGATTTTGCTGGATACAAATCTGAAAATAATACATGTTGGACCATCAAAATAATTTTGTTGGAAAGTCAAACTGATTGCTAGAATATCAAAACGTTTTATAGCAATGCTCGTCATTTTTTACTTTCCAGCAAAATTATTTGATGGTCCAACAAGAATTTTTTTCAGATCGGTATCCCAGTAAAATTTTTAGACATTCGAGTAAAATCGTACTTCCCGTGTATAAATATAAATTGCAAAAGCGCGACGTGCTACCATCGGTGCACTGCGAAATATATCACGCAAATAATAAAATTAACGAAATTTGCCGCACCGAGTTTTAATTCCTCGTTGATAAAGCTAACGATCCATCTGCGCGAGCGAGCGGAAGATTATAGTCGGCATAACTAGTCGAATTACTTGTCGGCGCATTTCCACTAGAAGTCACCGAGCGAAAAGACCGTCGCGTCGTCGCGGAGAGGAAGGTGGCTGGGGCCGAGGGAATGGGGTTGCCCGGAGGAAAACAACCAGGTCGTCATTTGTATCCGCCATTATCGTAGCTGCAGCTACTTCCGGCGAATGCGCCGTCATTAAACGAGTACAGGTGCATGCCAGCGGGTCAGTGACGGCTAATGGATTTTCGGAGCCTTAAGTTAATTTATTTTTCGACGTGCTGCTAAATTATTTTTCATAGTGAAAACATAATCTAAAATACGATGTGATAGTAGATAGACAGTTATCCTTCGATATTGCTTAAATTGGAGCATAAATTCCATCCCGATGAAAAAGCTTTTCAGAATATCAAACGTTTCGTCTTTTATCA